CAATCTAACTCATACATTTTAATTCAGACATTGCATTTGACAAATGCAAAATTACAGTTAACTACTTGTCAGTGATGACTAAAAATAATAATTCCTAAATGTCTGTAATCTTCCTTTACTGGCTACAAAAAGAAAAGTTAATTATTCAGTGTTATACTGAATATAAATAGTTTTGCCTTTCTGCAAACCCAGCCGATCTGGGCACATAAACCCAATGCAATCTTGTCTGGGGTTAAACATCATTAGCTTACCTAAAACAGATAAAACATTTGAAAGCTGAGAGCGACAAAAATGAATCAACATTTGCCCAAAACCAGGCAGTGCAATCCCTTTCATTTAATACATACAAAATTATGGCAATAAATGTGCATCTACAGTGCAGGGTACAAAAACTACTGTATCAGTTCTAAATGTGTGTGTGTGTGTGTGTGTGTGTGTGTGTATCTACAAGTTCTCACCGTGGAGAATTGAATCCACTGTCAACTGTGATAGAGCTGGAGTCCATACTGTCCAGTCTAGCAGAGTGGGCTGACTGCTGGTTCTGACTGGACTCTGGAAGCCTCTCTTTAGCACTGGGGAAGGTGAGGGTTCTTTCAAACCTCCTCTGTAAGTCCCTCTCCTTCTCTCTCTCCAAGAGCCACTGCATGGTACCTGCTGCACCGCCCCCCATCCCAACAATGCCTCCTCCAGCCTTCTCGTCCTCTCCTCGACTTTTGGTCCCACCCTCCTCAAGTTCATCGTCATCTGAGACATTGTAATAATCAAATGATGCCTCTGCAGTACTGGTAGTGGGTTCAGTCCCCTGTGGGGGGGCAGATGTGGCCACCAAAGGTTTGGGAGCATCAAAGGCCTCCTGGGAATCAAGTACATCACAGGATGAGGACAGAATAGAAGAGACAAGGGCAGGTGTTTTTCTCAAAGAGCTGTAGCCAGGCAAATGTAGGCCAGGAGGAGGTTTGAAGAGAGTGTCTTTACTAAAGATCTCTTTACGTTTCTCCTGACCAACGGAGGCACTGTGGGAAGGTCGTCCATTTGGAACGGGTGGGTCAGGGTTAGTGAGAGGTATAGGAGGCAGGCTGCCACCTTTAGGTCCCACCCATTTGTCCTCCTTATTTTCTGTCAGGTGGGGTGTCTGTCTGTCTGTCTTCCTGTTAGTGTTACCTATTTTTAATCCTTCATGACTACTTTTGCCCAGAGTTCCCAGTGGGTCTGCTGTTGTGAGAACAGCATCAGAGGAACCAGAGCACTGAAAGTAATCATCAGGAGCAACACAAGTGGGCAGTGGTTTCGGTGAGTATGCTGGAAGGTTGTCCCTGCTCTTATTCCTCTCTAAGCTCCTGCCACCATCCAATCCCAGAGAATCCCCAGCAAGCTTAGCTGAGGTGGGTGTGGCTCGAGGGTAGTGAGAAGAGCTCTGATTGGCTCGCAGGGTGCCATCATCAGTATAGTAACGGTTCCGGTCATCATAATAATCGGGTGGTGCAATCAACCCTGCTGCAAGCGGTCCTTTGGAATTGTCCATGGATCTAGAGCGTTCCTTGGCCTTGTCACTCCTTTCATTCCTTGATTTTCTCTCCTGGGTGTGAGAGTGTGAGCGGTGGACTTTGGAGTGGTGGGCTGATGGGCCATGGCTTGGCTCTGGGAAAGGCATTTCTGTTCTCCGCTTAGCAAGCTCTCCAGACACATCCCATTCCGGTGTAACAGGCAGGTGGGAGGCGTCAAGAATGTTGGGGTTGCTGTGTGCAAGGTGAAGCCGGGCCCGCTGTCGCTCTATGGCCAGAGCATGTTCCCTTGGTGACCGAGCCAGTGAGGCTGAGTAGGCTCTATAGTCCCTGTCAGCCAGCTCTAGGTGGGAAGCATCACTTGGCTCACCATGTGATGCCCTTGTTTTACTATGAGAGCGGCTGAATTTGGTCTGTGATTGCTTCCTATGTCTACCTCCACTTCTCCTACTCCTAGAGCTCTGATTGGCTGTTGAGGCTTTACTTCTTTGAACACGCTCTTCTTCAAGGCGCTTCATGACCGCTGTGTGCCGAGCAAGGTTCTCCACAGTAAGGTCAGGATTGATTCTGCGGATAATTTCCATCTCTACATGACGTGGCAGCTGGCTGGGCACCTCCTCATCACGGAGTGGCCACTCATCAGGGGGGAACTGTGCCGAGAAGGTGGTGAACTGCTTGGCCTTATCCTTCTTAAAGCTCAGACGGAACAGCTTCAGACCAAACTTACGACTACCTGTGCCACTTCCTCCACTGGCTTGTTTCTCTATCTCTGCAGTTCCTCCTCCTCCCCCATTGCCCCCCCCTCTGTGCTTGGTTAGAGTGTCCGTCTTGAAGGTGAACCCGAGGGTGCTGCGGTTTTTTTCTGTGTTGCCTCCTGTTTGCTGGGGAGGTGTTTGTGGGGGGTGTGGGGATGAATACACTTCCCGGTGGTCTTTGGAGAATCTGCACTGTAAGCTGGTGTGGTGGCTTGGAGGTTCGTCTCCACGGTAAGTGTTACTGTAAAAAGAATCTCCACCTCCCCCGCCTCCTGCACTATGGTTTTGGCTAGTCTTTGGCTGTGTTTTATCGCGCACGGCTCCAGAAGTGGATGGGTTAACAGCGCCAAAGAGAGGTGAGGTGCACTGTGTCTGCTGATGCTGCTGGTGTCGGTCAATGGATCTCTCGTCTAAGTGGTACCACTTGGAGCTGGTTCGGATTAGGCTCGGAGTGATAAAGTAAGTCTGTGGGGTAACAATAAAATATCCGTCCGTTGTTGGGTAGATCTTCCTCTCATGGACCAGCATGCTTAGTGTGTGGTGCAAAACCTCCTCCGTTGGCGTAGGAACACCTAAGAACAATAGACAATAAGCATTGGAGCAGGGGCAATTCTCACAGGTAATTAGATTAAACTGCAAGCAGTAATACCTCAGAAGATTTTTAACTGATAAAATTATTAACCGGTAAAATCCAAAGGTTTTGTGAAACCTGTGCTCCCAAAGGTACACATAGTAATACCACCATATAACCAGGTTATATAGAAATAATTTTGGAGAAAGGGTAAAACTGTGCACAACTGTGAATGACATTGTTCACTCAACTTCTATTTTTAGAAAGATTTTCAAGTTTGTTAGACAAGTATCACATGTCTCCTCGTTTTTAACAAACCATACCTATATATGTGAAAAATACTGTATTATACATTTTTGCATCAGCTTTGTGTTAGAAATTTCCAGAGAAGCTCCAGAGGATCTCCTGAGTTCAGTGCATGTCTGAAAGCAGTTTTACAGAAATGATAGTACGTGAATGATGGTTATATCTTAAAGCAAAGACAAGAATCAAAGATAACACCTATATTCCCTGCTTTATCTCTGGATCTGCCATTTGCCATGTAAACGTAGTTGATAAAATAACCACATTATATTTCAATGTGATTGTCAACGACAAGAAGTTACATGATGATTCACAGTTTTTTAATGAGTGATGAGTGTGTGTACATTCTTTTGCAAACTCTCTTATTATCTTGTCTCTACAGTTGGTTTCCTCTTCATTTTTCCCTTTGTCTACCCTCCACAAACCTCTCTCTCTCTCTTCAAAATCTCTAGCTGTCTCTCTTTGTCAGTCTGGAGGTATTACTAGCAGTTACATCATAATAGCCTTTCAGCCCAGCCAGAATGATGCAATGCCATGCAGACAGACTGACAGTCTGCACACGTGCGTGTGTGTGCGTGCACATATTCACACACACATACAGGGTTGGTCTATGCCTCTTCCTCTCCAATTTGTTCATTAGAAGACAAGCAAGCAGGAAGAAAGCAGAGGAAACAGAGTTAGGCTAATGGGCAGGTTCATCCTGATAAACACACTCACTCTTCTGCATTGTAATATACCAAGTTTAATATGGAACAGAATATGTACATGATTGTGAGACTGTGAGAGTTCTGAGTCTACTGACAGCAGTTTTTCCACTCCATAGTAATTGATTTGATCTGTCTTGCTCTCTCACCTATTTCCCCATCCCCCAAGTGATAAAGTTATGTGTGTGCAGATAGAGGATTTGTTTGTGCAGGTAAACATCCTTTAGTTAGTGCTGATAACTACATTATGGGATCCGCAATTTATTCTAAAAGTTTAAGCAAATACATTAGGTGAAAATCCAAACAAAGAAAGCACAGAAATGTGCCCAACCCCCAACACAGCGGGGGGTTCTCTGCACACGTTCACAGCTAAATATTCTCTTCAGGAGTCAGGTAAGGGGTGGAACAGCAGAATGGGGCACAATTTACATAATTGGAAGTATATAGTATTGGTAACATTCTTCACATTTTAGCAAATAACATTTATGAGTAATATGTACCATAAATACGACGGAGTATTAGGGCCACATTTTAAAAAACTAAAATTGGAATTAATTACGAGATTTAAGTCGTTATTAAATATGGCGACAATTAATTACAAGATTAAAGTCG